GGGCTTCAAGCAGAAGTACGGCATCGACTACACGGAGACGTTCTCGCCCGTGGTCAAGTACGTGACGCTGCGCATGATCATTGCTTTGGTCGTGTTCTTCGGCTGGCCTCTGGACCAACTGGACGTGGTGACAGCATTCCTCTACGGTGTGATGAAGGAGGTCGTGTACTGCGTGGTGCCGGAAGGTGTGGAGCTCGACGGCGACTTCGACTGCCTGGAGCTAGTGAAGGCAATCTACGGTCTCAAGCAAGCTTCGCGTGTGTGGAACGAGACCTTCGACGAGTATGTGTGCTCTATCGGCTTTCAAGTTTCAGCCTACGACCCGTGCCTCTACATCAAGATCGTGGACGGTCACTGCGTGCTTCTACTGGTGTACGTCGATGACGTGTTGGTGACCGGGAGTTCAGCGGATCTGATTGCAAGCACCAAGGGCGAGCTCAAGAAGCGTTTTGAGATGACCGACAGCGGCAAGTGTGCGTTCGTGTTGGGCATCGAGCTGGTGTACAACACCGACGGCAGTGTGACGATGTGCCAACGACGCTACGTGGACGACATTCTCAAGCGGTTCGGCATGGATGAGTGCAAGGCGGTAGTGAGTCCGGCGGATTTGAGCTCTCGACTAGTTCCAAGCAGCGCGCCAACCAAGGTGAACGCTCCATTCCGCGAGGCTGTGGGCGCCCTCATGCACTTGATGACCGCGACACGACCGGACATCGCCTTCGCTGTGGGTTATGTGTCGCGCTTCATGGAGAACCCTCAAGTCGAGCACTGGACCGCGGTGAAGCGCATCTTCCGCTATCTACAAGGAACCAAGTCGCATGGCATCTGCTTCAAGCCTGGTGACAAGGTGGACTTCCGCGGGTACTCTGACGCAGATTGGGCTGGCGACCACTCCGACCGCAAGTCAACTTCGGGCTACACGTTCCTGTTGATGAGCGCCCCTGTGAGTTGGGGAAGCAAGAAGCAGTCGAGCGTGTCGCTGTCAACGAGCGAGGCGGAGTACATTGCGCTGAGTTTGGCAATTCAAGAAGGCAAGTGGATTCACCGCCTACTTTGCGAGATTCTGGCGGCAGCAGGCGAGTCGGGACCCGAGCTCAAGATCCTCGAAGACAATCAGTCGTGCATCAAGATGACCAAGAACCCCGTGAATCATGGACGCGCCAAGCACATCGACATCAAGTACCACCACATTCGTGACGAAGTCAAGCGTGGTGAAGTCAAGCTCGAGTACTGCGAGACTTCTGTGATGCTGGCGGACATCATGACGAAGACACTGCCAGGACCGCGTCACAAGGACCTCACGACGGCGCTCGGAATCCACGCGTGTTCGCATTGAGGGGGCGTATTGAGGGTTACCGGTTCCTGATGGTATATACCGGTTCCCGAACCTGTCCAACACGATCCCGCGATGATTATGGTACGTTGATTACGCCACTAGTGATTAGACGAGTAGGATGATTGGACGAGTGCAGAGTGTTGGTGATTGGATGACCCCAATGATTGGATGCAGACTAGGTAGTGAGAGTAGTGTAAGCTCCGATAAATCAATCACTTCAGAATCTTCCTTCTTCCCCTCAAGTGGTCTTCGCTCCGGTCTTCTTC